AATACTACCGGGAGCATGGTCGAAGGAAAACTTCAGCGAGAATACGCCCTGTCTGTATATACGACTACCTAAGAAGTATGTGCGAGGTCAATTTTATGTAAGCACCATGGCCTAATTTCCAGCAAATTAGATATGACCAACTGGTAAAAGAACAGATTGAACGCTGATAGGCTCGACAGCAGGCTCAATTAAACCCGATAGCGAAGGTGCTCTAGGAACATCAGTTCCCGTCTGCAGTTGATTAAAAATGGCTTCCATGGCTGGAATGTTTTTAAACAATGAACAATTTATATAGGGGATATCGTAAGGGGGTAACAGTGTTGCATTGCCAAATTAGTGCTACGATAAAAGGTGCTATTTGCACCGTATTTGTAGCTAGAATACCTTTCCGACAGCTCTATGCTAAATCTAGAAGCAATACACATGCATTACAGCCATTGCATTGCAAAAACTTCTCTCCTTCTAAAAAAAAGTCTTAACTCTCCGCTATGTTCAGGTCCTTTAGAAACGCTAGCCCTCTGATCAAAGTCAACCGTGCAAACGATTTTGTTTCAGCCGCTTAGTCTTTCCGACTCTGAATGCAGTACAGACGTTTCATTTACCCAGGGCGGTAGTCTGATTGAATCCGGGTCGCCATTCTTCGGCTCCTGCGCTCTGCAGGTGCCATAACACCTTGCTTATCATCGCTAACCATAGTACGACGTTGCCACGATATTGGCGAAATGTTACCGAAAGATGTCCTTTGGTACGTACCTACGCTTACGTATCTAGCTAGACATCTGTGTGTGCTCTGGAATTTACTCTTCTCAACAAACAGGCCTCTCCCTGTCTACACCCTTGATACTGCCTAGCGACTGCCAAAGGCTGCCGGACTCAACCGTTAAGTAATAGTGCTCACCGCGACGTTCTATGAGCCGCTCCCTACTCTCACATAGTACACATAAGGCCAGTGCTTTTGTAGCGTGGTACGCCGCGTCGTCCCTGGCATTATGAAACAGCATTCAGGTTTGTAGCATGGAACACAGCTGTCGCATCCCCGAAAGCTGCACCGCGGGCTGGAGTTCACCAACACCTGTCAACAGAGAACAGCGTTGAAGGACATTTGCCCCGTTGCCAACGGCCAGAAAAACCTCCACTAGCGGGAAGGGATATAATGACATGGGGAAGTCAAGTTTTTTGTAGCGCATTGGGACGGCAGGTGATGCTACCGCGCCTACGGATGCCACAATCACCACCGAGAGTAACAGAATAACAGCCATTTCGATCGAGGAGGGCTTTCTTTAGCCTTCGAATAAGCACTGAAGCGGTAAATGCCCCTTGGAAAATTGGGTATTCTTTGTGGTCTCCGCTGCTACTGATCCTGTCCTTCTGACGGGGAAAATGCCAGTTTCACTTTTGCTACCGCCATGTTCATGGCGCTTAAAAGTGCAATTTCGCATGGAAAATAAGGAAAAAAAATGCTTCCGCACTCACAAATCCACTCTGAATTTTACCAGACAATATGGCGAACACATAGAGGTTACCTTAGACCATGCATGCACAACATTATATATGTATATACAACCCATACTTCTTGTGCGTTGCTTTAGACAAGCAAATAGAAATGTTCGTTTCACAGGTTAGGCAGCTGCCAACCTACCTAGACGTTAAAATTTGAAGAATTCAGTTTCATTGTCATGAAGGCAAAAAAATGCCAGCTCGAAATTACTTTTACAGCTGCTTAAGCTAATATTAGTTCCAACAACGAAATTGCAATATCATTCAATCTTTTCCTACTCTTACAATACAGCTTTGAGAAAAGGCCGCAACAGGTTATTTTTTCTAACAGGACTGCAATTCATAACTTAAGCATCACTTTTGTATGTTTCTTTTCCATCCCTTCCTTGCATCTGGTGTCTCTCCTTTAAACTTACGCATGCAAATCCATTTTGTATCTGAAGTACTCCTTTTTAAACCAACTTTTTGTTCTGTCCTTTACAGAGCTCGTTCCCTGGTTTGTTTAATGTTACGGCTTTTCTTTCCGCAGCACACACCCTCTGTTTGCTTCCACTGTGGACGACGCGCGCTTGCTGTTGGTAAGCGTTCATTGCACCGCCCGGCCAATACTGCAGACCGAGTTTGCAAGGAGACGATGAAGACGACCATAAGGTGTTCTGTTGTGGGCTTTGTCTCGATCACAACCGCGATCACTTGAAAGGTAAATGGTCGGCCATTCGGACCTAGTTTGTTGCGGTAGAATAGAGACCTAGAAGTTGCCGAACAGGAGACAGGAGTGTATGCACGGATGACGTGCACGCGTTGTTCCGAAAAATAATGGCGTTCAATGCTGGTGCTGCAGCGGGTGCTATCATCGATATTTTATAAAGCATCGATATAAATCTAAGGCATACTCTGACCGCATGGTTCGCTCTTGCTTCTTCGCTCGCTTTCGTTGCTGTCGCTAATGTTGACTGTATTTCCCTTCCTTCTCACGCAATGGCAGAAACATGCCCGAGCCAAGTGGGAAAAGTAGAATGATCAACGAAAAATGCAACTCGCAGTCGCTTGAAGAAAACGAGATTTCTAATTTGTATTGACATCGTGAGGTTTCTCCTTTCCATATACACAGACGTAAAGAGATGACGCTGCAACAGGATCCGATAAGCCTGGGACACGGATACAGGCCGGCGAAGTGATAACAGAACGATGTGGTGTGCGTCGCTGCCGGGGTTTTCATCGCTCTTTGTCAGTCCTAGGTAGCAACAAGTGCAGTCGTAAACTTTGAATTGGCAAAAATTAAAATATGTCGATGTGGAAAAGGCGTCCCCTTGTCGTTTTTTCGAAGGTGAGGCCTTCAATTTATTAGGCACGGGGCAGTGTTATCACGTGCCTTGAATCTGCGTCTGCTCATCTGACCTGGATGGGTTGGGTTGTTCGGTTTTTCCCATTTTTGTTGTATACTTTGCAAAATGGGCGGTGCAAAACGCAAAAGGTAAAGAATAGAATGTGAGAATGATAAAACCGAAAGACATGGCGTAAGTGAGTGAATCATCAAAATCGTTTCGTGTTGGCCCATTAGTAAAACGGGTGCTTGATACGGACGAAAATGTTTTGACGCCGGCTGTATCCAAAATAGCCATGCGCACTAGTGTTAATCATCATATAGTACACTAGACCAGAGGCTCAAAGGAGGTTATCTTGAATAAGGGATATGATACACTTAAATTTATTCCAAGCTGCCATTGCTATAAGCGTCAACCAGCAGTAGCGACAACATTTTAAAAGATGATATACTTTCCTTTCGTACTGTCGTCGTTAGCAGTATCAACAAAGTGCCAAAGACTTTAGCGGAATGAGGATCATTTCAACTCGATTCAACGTGTGGAATGGTGGCCATCTCTATGAAGTACGCTTATTTCCATAGTGGTTATCATATAAGAACCTCTTACGGAGGTACTTGCGCAGTACAAAAAAGAATCAATGAACTATGAGTTGCGCTTCACTGTGCTAGCATTTCTATTTTTGAATTATGAGAAACTATACATCTAGATATTCTTTATTCTTTTGACAGCAAAAAGAAAGAACTAAGCCGTTTTTGAAGATTTCCATCGCTCCGGTTGTTTCTCAGTTCTGCTAACCCACTCGTGCTAAAGGGACGAATACTGAAACAATCCTTTTTTTTTTTGTAAATGCAGTTCAGTGTACTTGGATCAGATGTGAACGCCGTCATTCTATATCTTTGCATAGAAAATGGGTCTAATTAGCTAGTAGACCACAAAATCTTAGAGCACGCATTTAGGTGACCAATGCGCCTATGGGATGTCAAAGCACAGTTATGGATACAAACAGAGCTTACAAAAAAAGCTTTTAATTCGTGATATTGAAATAAAGTGCCTACTACTAAAAACATTTTACTCTAAACCAAAAACTTAATGCTTTTTCACTAGTGTTACAGTTTACTTTTATTAATTTTTATTTTTCTATCCATGTATAGGGTTTTGCACGCTGTGTGTACAGGCATTTCATCATGTGGGCTCGCTTCTTGTTTCTAGGCGCTAAGGCGAGATATCTAGGTATGTGAAGATCACAGTGGGGTTTATGTTAGTGCGGCAAAGGTTCCGTCTGGGAGGACGGTCATCCGGGCGCAAATATGGTTACCTCTATCTATAGGCTAGGTTTTATAACAGTGTGGAGAATAAATGTTGCACTGCTATGAAACCAACAAGTTCAAATCATGTTAAGTCTTTTAACGAAAAACATAATGTTAAGTGTCGATGCTAATGCAACGCAGAGGCACAGTTGGCAGTGATAATTTTTGCTAGTAGAAAATTATCGAACATAAACCATCTCTCAAAGATCAAAATTGTTCCTTTAAGCTAATCTCTACATATCGAAGAATAGACATCATTATTAGGTGACTATGACTGGGACAAGAGTATTCATATAGTGAAATAAGGAAAGTCTCGTTGATTTATATTGGTGGTATCTACGTTTAACCCTTTGCATGCAGTACATTGGGTTAATTATGCTTGCGTTTTATAAACAAGGAATCCGTGGTCAGACATCGAGGTTAGCTGTAAGATCGAAGATGCATTTGGGTACTAGAATCAGCCAAGAATTTTCCCAGGATCAAAATTATTTTCAAAATGTATTTTTTTGTCCTTAATGGGTGTCAACGTTTTAATGGTAGCCAACTGTAGAATGTACGCGATTTAAGAAAGATAACATCCTAGAGGTTGTCTGATGCTTTGGTTAGCAAAAAGAAGCAAGCTTTAAAATAACCTATTACGGAGATTATTGACAAATGCTCGACAGGACCTGTTCGCCGTTGGGCAGACACGTAATGTCCCAGATTTGGATATGCCGTAAGTTAGGATTACGTACACTTCATGGTCCACAGGTTTTAACTAGTTTCATCAGCTTAAATTAACGATTCCCATTTCTCAAAGAACCTGGATAGTGCTGAAGCCTAACGTAGATTAGCGGTAGGCTCCATCCATAAATGGAGCCGCGGCACTTACGTAAGAGTAACGGTCTCAGCTATCTTTCCTCTTCTCAGTGCATCGCTTTCGGAAGACGTGTCGATGTCAGGCTTCCAGTGCAGACTAAGCCCTTTGCTCTGAGCTTCTCCTTGCGAGGGGCTCTCATTATGAGGTCTCTCCCCACCATGAAGAACCATTACCACACCACCTTGGACCCCACACTGGTTGGTAACCTGGAATGCAATCATCCGCGAAGCGCACAATAGTTATCGGACATAGAAGTCGCAGCAGAAGTAAATCTAAAGCATGGTGACCTATACTGCGTTTTCCTCCCCAGCAGAGGAGAACTTAGATTATAAGTTCTCTATTGCTGTCTTTATTTCCCCGTTACAGATAATGTGTATTAACATTTTTCCTTGCCGTCCTGTTACTGCAAAGTATGTAATCTCGCCTGATCCTACCAATTCTATAAATTATAGTCACCGTTTCTATTATCACATCTTGAAGTCTGCAGGCTTTCCGGCAGGCTCCACTTTGTTAAGTTAAGATAAGTTTTACTCGATTTGAGTATAGCTGACATTCGTCTTTTAAGCTCTCTTCCTGCGACTCAGTTGAAAAGCTTCCTGTGGCGGTGTATTTTTAAGCTTGTTTTTTTCATTTTGCGTATACGCACACACTCATACACACATTGTATGAGTATAGCTAGCTGCTCCATTAGATTCGAGCAACAGCTCTGCCCTTGACATCCCGCTTTTCCGATTACCTCCTATTGCAAGGATGAGTCTCGCTCCACAAATCCATCTAGGCGCAGGCGAGAAGAAGTTCGTATAACACTTAGGTTGATCCGACTCCCGGATTTCATCCCTGCCCTTTGCCATCGACAGACGATTGCCATATTGCTTCCACTACCTTTGTCAAGCCATATACTGTTCGAATACCCCATTCCTCGAGAGGCGAAAAACGTTAAGCAGTGTCACAATCAAACTGATTTTCCCATCGCCCATCTGCGCCCAATGCGGTACAGAAACCTCGCAAAAAAGTATCATAAGCGGGAAACCTAACCAAGCGGATTGGATTGGTTCGTGTCGTCCGCATATCCTTGGCGAGCAGGGATAAAATCCCACATAAAGATCACTTAAAGAGGCTAATTTGGATATATCTAGGATAGTCATAAAGTTAGCTGTGACCGCCCAGGACCTCCGCTTCTCGAAGAGCTTTTATAAATTGTGGAAAGCTTTTAAAAACTCATCGGATTGTAAGCAAGCTTTCGTTAGTAGTAGTTACGGCAGTCAATAGTGGGTGAAGATCAAGGTAAGGATTAGTTTACTGTCGTATATAATATTATCATCAGTGTATTTTTATTTGGCAAAAGCGTCACTAGAATTTGAGGTTTGTCGTGTGTGCTATACAATGATGAACTTTAACAGACAATTATTACATACTGGCGTTGGATCGAACCGAAATAAGTCAAAGTGACATACAGATAAAATTAGGCGACGCGAAATTCGAGATTGCTCAATTAAAGATGGAGTCGTGTTTTAGCGTTCGCTTATACAATGGTAGCCATCTTCGGTATCTGATAAGACCATTGTTAAGCTCTTTCATTCTTGGAGGCACTAGCTATATCTTGGAAAGTTTTACCCTCAAATTTGGAAACTGAGAAATCATTATCGACCGGTAACGCTACGCAAAGACGATGACACCTATGCGAAAGAACTACCTGGTCTTGACTAAAGTGGCTCAAACTTTGCTAAGATTCATCCTCTACCTGAGCTGAGTCGAGCAAGGTCATAAATTTACGAGATGTGATGCAGCCAGAGACTTTTACCCGCCCAAGACTGATACGAGTGCCGAAAAGAATAATATTTTTCTCTGAAATTATTTTTATTGCTGCTACTGAGACTATGATCGATACTAATAGCATTACCAATAGGCAACAGTTGACACGAGAGGCTTCTCAGTTTTTCTGCATTTTCAATTCAGAATTTGAATAATTAGACCAATCCGAATGCAAGATTCTAGCAGACTACAGGAAATTTGTTAAAATACAGGGCGAGACAGTGACGAATACGGTGCCCGCCAGTATATTTGACAGCTAGTTGTACAAAATAAACTTTTAAGTTGCCGCTTAAACGTCAATTGAATGTCCAACACTGTCATAGTAAGCTTTGGCCCAGGAAGACGATGCTATAATTGCCCTCTATTCAGTTCGAAAGAGGTTTTTTCACGATTTTTGCGATAGAGCTCTTCTGTTGACAAATCAAAAGCGGGGGCTTCTATTCTTTACAGAGAGCTGATTCCTCCTCCTGGTACAGCATTTCCACTGAAACCTTAAGTTATCTATATAAAATAAAATCAGCAATTCAGACTTCCTACGTTCGACGCACGACTACAGCCTAGTTAGGTACGTGAGTTTTACAGGAAATAGCTTTTCTGATGGCTTATTTATACCATACACGCAGTTTGTTTCTTAATCGAAATTTTCTTATTGACGCCGTATATTCACTAAATTATTATATATATATATATAAAACTTCTAAAAGGCTAGCAACTAATGCAGCGGGCGTGTAACACTGAACACGTCATTGTATAGGAGTTGTTCCATCGAAATGATAACTCGTGTAAAACTTCGCATGTGTCTTCGTACTCGTACAATTGATTCATCGAGGGTATTTCAGTATCAGCGTTAGCCTACACGACGTACAAGGTGCAACATTTAGGTTGAAAAGAGTTTTTTAGTGAGAGCTCACATTGATTTTTAATAGTTGCAACAGACAGCAGGGCCTCTCGCCTTCCCTTGCATAATGGACTCATCAAATAACAGTTTGTTTGTCAACAGTATTCCTAGGTAAGTAAAGAAGTTAACGTATTCGGTTATCAAACGGAAGAGAATTTGTCGCGGCTAGTGACCTCCTGCAGCAGAACGATTGCATACGTCCTTATAATGTCAAGTTCGATGAATGTCACCAGTGCTTGCCGGAAGTGATAGAGGTTGATGCAAAATGAGACGAGGTTGTCGGCATACAAAAAGAAACCTTTAATAGGTTTTAGCTTTCTAATACTTAACTTACAAGCGATATCTGCTCTAGCTACAACATATAGCAACAAACGTGTACGGTCTGCGGACTCGGATTCGTCATGACCCGCCGCCCGTGTCACCCTGTCCGTGTAGACAAGTTTGTACAATAAAAAAGGTCAACTCACCTTACCTGTCGAAAAGCATATCGACTAGGAGATATCGTATAGGAGTAAATCACTATTCTTAAATAATTTAGCAACTTTTGCCCTTTTTACTTTTAGTTATAATCCGCACGCTTAAAACAGTGCCTTTCTCGGTGCAGTACAATATAATACTCGGTCGATTAACACTCGTTGTTTATATTCGTTTTTCGAATGCAGGTGGCGCGTGTGTAGCAGAAGCGACAATGGATGAAAAAATAAGAGATACCGCATTAAAGAAAATATATAAAGAAGAAGGTTGGTTACACCCCACAAACAGCGAGGGTCATGTGTGTCTCCTCATACGACTGCTTATCTATAGTATCCTACAATACGCACTCACACGCTACCAATAAATCCATTTTTTTTGCCTATATTACATTTTGTGAAACCAACAGGAGGGCTCCTGCTTAAATGGTAAAGGTTCCCGTGAAGCAGACCACAGTTGCCACCGACGTACCATAGACACTGCTGCCTGCCAATACCGAATATCTCATTCACTCGCTATTACCTTATGTGTAACCCCTCGTGGTCTGCCGACACTCAGTGTAGAAGCGACAACGCCATTGCTACTGCCATAGCGGAGCTTCAGCAGCCGGCTCCAAAGTGGGTTATTGTGATTAATCGTTGACAGGTTTCCCTCTTCCCTCCAGATCCCTAAGACCGAAACCCCAGACTGTAACCTCTATTCCCTATTTACAGAACGGCCCCCTCAGATAGTTTTCCCTTTAGGAGGACATATCTACAGGACTTTTGGGAACCCGTAGGAACCGAAAACAGATTTGCTTCGGCTGTATTATTTTGCCAATGCGACCGAGAGTTGTGCTAGTAGAACGACAGAAGACTACCATCACGACAGCCGGACCATACTTTCCTTACCATCTACGTCGAGCCTCCAAATGGAATGACAGTGTACAAAGTCACCAGTGGACGCCAGACTTGACGGGGAGTGAGAATGGGAAAGCGGAAGAAGAGATATTTGCCTGGAGGAAGCGTCTAGAGTATAGTAAGCAACCCGCTCGTGCCATTTCTTCGTGTCACTGCGTCCACGACAGTGTAGCGGTAGCACTGCCTGGTTCCTAAACGTGTGGTTCCTGCCGAACGTACGCTGGCTGCCGGCTTCGAATGGTGGCCTTCTGTTCTCTTTCAGGAGTCGGCGAAACCGCACCCAGAAACGACCGGAGAGTAGACACAGTACGAAAGCGGAGATGCTGACTGTGTAACGGAGAAAGGGGCTGGCAAAGGGGCCTGGTTGGACGAACGAAGACAGGTCAGTGGCGGCCACATATAAGGCGAACTCCGATTGTGGCACATCAGTTGGGGCTGCAGCACAGAGACGGCGAATGGACGGAACGGACGGTGAAGTCAACCGATAGGATGGTGGTGGTAGCCGAGGAACGGGGCGGCCGGCAATTGAGGCAAGCAGACATCAGCCATCTGCAAAATACACCTGTCAAGTGTACAAGGTTCTTGAGAGAGACAGTTCTGCAGGTCCTTTTTCGATCGCACTTCGGGACTCTGGACTTCGTACAGTGCACACGTGTATACACTCGCTTGCAGGTAACTCCCAGTGTCGATCCCTTCCATCGTCCGCAAAGTTTATTATCTTGTTTTTTTACGCCCGACTATCAGCGTGCAAACTTAGCTGGTTTCCACTCTGTGTTCGTACAAATGTTGAAGTTATTCGGGGATTGTAACTCTAAATCTAATAGGTACCCGTGTTATTTCTCAAAGTTGGTACATGATATCCATAAATGTGCTGTAGGGTAATACATATTCTGCAACAGTTAGACGTAGTTTCAATAGTGGTACTGATGAAACACATCGAAGGGTAACAATAAAATAGAGAATTCGAAAATTTTTTGTGCGCCTATTGTCATTAAGGAAAAAGCTGTAAGGAGGGCTTTTGCTACAACATTGTACTTCATGTACGTTAGCAATCTTTCATTCATATCATCATAACAATCGTTCATTAACATAATTTGCATGATAAAGTTGCCGCAAGGTTCTTTCGGAATTACTCAGTAAATCCCGAGATCTGTCTATGGAACGAAGTTCGACACCTGTTAGCAGTTAGATGTTCAGAAAAACGCACGTCCATGGAATCTGGTCAGGATCACTACGACAGGAACAAATGAGGCCTGGACAATTAAAACGGATACAATTTGTTGCATGCCAATTGCTCGATATTGCTGTGGGCCGGCAATAGGAAAAACATTAACGAAAAGCTCCAGGCGTAATCAAAATATGGTTATATTTTTTTTTCAAAATCTGCCTAGCTTACGCATACACTAAATAAAGCAAAACTTTCGTTGCAACTTCAACTATTTGAATTAGAATAATGTCTCCCTCATTTACATGCATACTGTGTTAGCAGCAATATGGTAACAAACGTGTTGCAATTCACGAGATAGAATCCGATCCTTTAAGTTCTTCTGGTAAAGCAATTTGTGCTGTGAAATTAAGATTTCCACTGAGGCAACATCGGTCGATAAAATCAATAACTCGCTATGTATAAGCTATTAATGGACGCATGTGTAAGAACATCGAACCGACATTTCTAGCTGGAAGGCATTCATTCCATCATCACGATGGTCGCGAAACAGCAAAAGCGCCGTCCGTCGCCTTCAGAGCGACGAAAATCTGGGGCGTGCTGTTGTCGGATGAGTATTCCGATTATACGTAACGTGTTCATTTATTGAGAAGAGGTAGAGGGAGACATGTTGGAGTTTACCGCCGGTATCGCAGTATTGCTCCTTCTTTTATGGTCCTCCTGAAGGTATTGCGAACAAGTCGTTACGCGGTAGCGGGATACGATCCGTTAAGGACGCAAGATTAGTTTCCTTTTTCTCGTTGCATCATTCGAGTCAACGTCCTGCAACCCATTTCCACCCTCCGTCCCCCCCCTCGGAACAGAAGAGTCTAAATTAAATCACTATGAAGCAGATGAGACCACCCTCAATAGGTAACAACAAAAGCCACTGCCGGTGCTGGCTTTATCAGGAGAACTCTACCAACTCTTGCGACGACAAGATGCACCAACACAGAATAACATGTCTTTTCGCAGAACCGACTTGTCATAGACCACGGGGAAAAAATTGACAATGTAGGCGTGTGAGAAGGGGAGTATTGCGGACAAGTCGTTACGCGATAGCGGGATGCGATCCGTTGAGGACGCCAGATTAGCCTCCTTTTTCTCATTGCGTCATTCGTGTCAACGTCCTTCAACCCATTCCCCCCTACCCCCCGTAACAGGAGAGAGACGAAATCAAATCATCACTATGATGCAGACGAGACTACTCTCAATAGATAACAACTGAAGTCACTGCCGATGCTGGCTTTATCAGGAAAACTCTACTAACCCCTGCAACGAGGAGATGCACCAACACAGAATAACATGTGTTCTTTCGTAGACCCGACTTGTCACAGAGTACGGAGAACAAATTGACAATGGAGGCGTGTGAGAAGAAGGGTCGTTTCCGTCGTTGTTACTACTGCCTTCGTCCGAGACGCTATATCGGATAAGGGGAGTGGTTGGGTAGATCTTAGACTAGAAGTACTAAATGCAGAGAAAGCAGGGGACTGAAACCGAGGAAATCAGGCAACACGGCACAACGTTTCATAGTCATCACAGAATGAGATGTCTATTGATGTGGTCCAATAGGGAGTACGGATATTTGGATTTAGCATAAACTAGATTTTCGGGACCTTGAGAGATAGCGAAGAAACAAGAGATCGTGACGGTAGAACGGGACTAGAAGGAGACGGCTCTGGCTGCGATCGTCCCGGATGGTAAGTGGGAGTATCTGGAGTACATCGTGACAACCAGCGGCAACCTGAGCAACAGACAAACAACAGCAAACATACGCTGCGACAGAAAGCAGAGCTGTATATAGTTCAGCCTTCGTGAACTAAACGGATAGCTATGTGCACTACACAAGGAACTCGAATTGCATAGGATTAGTAAATTATTGTTAAAACGACTGGGGTGGGCGTGTATAATGGACAAAAGGTATCCTCGCGAGAAGACTGTAGCAGATTGGCTTGTCCGACTAAGGATATAAGGTTCTCCAGGAAGCGGGACTTAAATTTCTGGCCATTTATCTTCACATGCAAATCTGATTTTGGAGCCAGTCAAATGAAATCCACTTCTGGGAGGCAAAACAGGGAAATGGACAAGATAGAAAGCAAGCTAGTAAAAGCTAGTTTGTTTTCTGAACAGAGCGGACACGTATGAGTGCATCCGCGTGTAATGTGTGTGTATGTGCGCGTACATTTACATATGCTGTGTGCTATATATACATCTGTACAAATTAGTTTGTGAACCGTAGACGACCGCTCTCAGACTCGCTGTAATCTCGTCGCTAGGAAACTGCTTGCTTCAGCTTGAGATCGTTAAGCATCCCCATTTTCTGGGTTAGATTTCTTTGACTACCTTTTCGAGTTTAAATGTTTATGAGTTCGATGTTTAAATAATATCGGGCCAAGTAAGATTAATTAATTGCTTCCTGTTTTGTTTAATAATTAGTGTTAGCATGCTAGAAGAACTCTTGTTGGGTATAATGTAGAAATTCCTGAATTACATATTATCAAACAGGATATTGTAGTCAAATCCTTTTTCACGCTGCCACAGTCTTTTCACAGAAAAAGCACGACTCTCGATTATGAGCAAATCATGATCTAATATATTCGCAGTTCAGGAAGAATGGCGTGCACAAAAGGTCCGACTGCCTTTCTATCATCTTTATTGCTCACGTCGCTGTCAAGGCTGCGCCTACAAGAGGATATTAGCAATGGAGTTCCATCGGTCTCCTCTTGTTCAGTAGGAGCAGTCATCTGGCCTGCTGCAGACACAAAATAATGATCACCAAAAACAGGCAGCCAAACAGGACGACACAAGGTCATCCTATCTGATAAGAAGTTCATATTGATGGCAAAAAACGATATAGCACGAAATTAAGACTTACCATGTCTAGACCTGTACTTGATACGTATTCTTTACCTGAACCCTGACACCTATCGTTAACCCCATTTTCTGCTCCATGCTCAGGAGAGTGCATGGTTTCGCATTTCTGAACATCCTCCGTTAGAGAAAAGCGCCAAGATGGGTCACTTTAAATCGTATCGTACTCTAGGCCTATGCATATGCCCTTTTTCTAACAAATAATAGGCTTCGATCATCTAAGTGTACTGCCGCAGGACGATGTTCCTGGTAACATCTATCTACACATATTGGCACGAAGGAACGCGCTGAGATGGAACGTTGAGTGTTTCTAGTTATTAGTAAACACTTCTATTAACTTTTCTATTGTTACCGAGCCTGTTTACACAAAACAAATGTAAATAGACCTTAATCTAATTAATATTTGTGGCTTTAAAGTAGGAGCAACGCTAATGACATCAACGGAAGCGTCTCTCGTATCTTTGCAACCACAATTAATTTTCTAATAACGATTTTTCGTGTTTATAGCTTAATTTATCGAATTCCCTTAACTTGACTGAGAACATATCAGATTTATCTGTTATTATTTTACTGTCATTAGTATAAACGTTACGGCGAAAATATACTATTACCTTTGCAGGGAGATGGCTGAAGACATCTTTAGCGGACTCGCCCTCGACGAAGACATACCGCGCTTCTTCATGCGGCGTTGAAGACCGCTCGATGGGCAGAGTCGGAAGGTTCACTGTAACAACGAATTGCAATGTAAACGAAGTGAGAAGCGTCATCTAAAACATTAATTCCAGTTGTTTGTTAATTACATGTAAAAGGCCGATCTAACCTCTGGCCATCTAAACAAAGAACATTTCTAGTTAAACAGTTGTAATGCAGAATTTCGGTTTAAATGAAAATCAGCAACCGTTATAATAACGAAGCTTCCATCGACTGTAAGTTTAACTTTGAACTTTAAGTTCATTTCTCTGTAATAGGCCTGAGCAGTCAAGGTGAGGTAGTTGAACTGGACGCACAAGTTTTCGATTTTTTTTTAAATTTAGTGTTGACAGATGCTTTTTTTTCGCAAGAGTATGTAACTAGTTGTTATATTAGCTAAGGCATTATATGATGTCGCTTAAATAAGTCGTGTACGCTTAAATAATGCCTCGACCGTCTTACTTTGATGAATACTAGTCTTCGATCTTGACAATAGATTCAACTTACCTGTGTATGTTCCACCTGAAAGGATTCCAAGTTGAGTATCGATGAATGGATGGCTAAGGGTTACTCGAGTACGGGTCGAACGAACTATCCTCAAAGGGAACTGCTTTCCGCGGATTGCCTAACAGACGGAAGGAGGACGACAGAGTAATAAAAGATCAGACACTGTTTGTTTATGTCGCCCTAGAAGGTGGCCGCACGCGCACGCGAAGCCGTTCACTGAATAGGTCAAAAATGGCATATGAAAGTAAACACTTGAGAGGAAAAGCATGGTTTTTCCTTTATCAAAGAGTCAGGTTTTTCAGCTTCTCAGTTAGACGCAACGTAATATGCGGCTCCAGTCCATGGCCCGATCACACGAACAAGTCAAAAATTGTGTGACGCTATCAATACGTGATGATAAGATGCCGTTCTTCTATTCGTAAGTTACTGATATCCCGATAATGGAGAATTTCTTTGAAAAGAACGCCTGCGAAAATGTTACAATGTCAAGTAATATGACCGAGGAAAATCCAGTACGCGTTTCCTTTTCCAAATAAAACAAACTTTGTTTAAGTTAGTTCTGAACTTTTTTCTCTTGCGAAGCCTATGCTATGCGCCGCCTAAAGAACTTGATGAGGTGTTTCCCACAGACTCAGGATCTTCACTGTTTAAAAAAAAGCTTATCTATATTTTTTTCCAAACGCCTCAAAACAACTTAAAATAGCTCCTAGAGAATCTTTTATAGAACCCTGACGATTGTCAGCAAATGGTCTTGTGTTGTTGTCTTACAAATTTCTCTAAGGTCAATGTACGCTCCTTTGCCTCCGAGTGCGCACGCTAATAGGTGGTCAAATGCATTAAAAACTGCTACTTCTAATGATCAGCCGCTACCCATAATGAAGAAGAAACTTTTTTCTGCAATGAATGTATGTGCAGGACCTAATAGATAGCTTCCTGTTGTTTAAGTTTTGCCTATACTAATGTAAGTTATCGAGTAACGCTGTGTTTTCCACCGGTTTCAAAGGCCTTATACGTAATGGACACCCATCAGAACTGAGAGCTCGTGTCAAATGCACCGATTTGATGACCTACATGGGCTTTTAGTGCTAACAAAGAAATTGCACACTTTTTTAAATGTCTTAAATAACCATTGTGCAAAAATTTCACAATTATACAATAATATTGCAGTAATGATATATAGGTGAGTGTCAATAAAAAAATCGCACGAAATCTCTAGTGTCATCTTCTACTGACTGAAACTTAAATTTCACACGGTGGTCGACCTGTACATACGTGTACTAACATTTAATGTTCATTTCCAGTTTAACATTAATAAGCTCTAGATAGATGTGTACAACTCAAAGGTTTTTTACTTTGTTCTATGGCAAAAATATATTTTGATAACAATGTCGTTCATACGTTTTCGTTCGAAAGCCACATGGACCGTATATCGGCGGTATAGAATCGGAGTCAAATCTTCTAGTGTATTACACGATGCTTTCAGGGTCTATCGCAGTGTTTTACCTAGCCTACTTCTCAGATCTATTTATTATAAATAGTAGTAATAGCAGTACTGGATGACACCGCAAGTCATCACGGAATTGTGAGCGTTTTCTGAATGAAGGTCGGACAGATTTAAGCGTAAACGTAAAGTATGATGAGACGGAATAAGCGCAGAAGAGAAAGGCTACGCAAACGGCTTTTGTCACCGTTATGGGCCTCTGTCCAAATCTTAACGGCAAATGAGGTCAGAGCAGGTTCTGTGTGGCAATTTGTCTCTGTTATGATTGGCACTGCTAACTAGTATCTACAAGATATATTATGTTTGTGTGTTTTGAGATCGAAATACATGCACCCTGATTCGATCACAGCGAACATTGAAGTACGGAAGCGCCCTCTTCATCGAGGATTAAAAAAATACCTGAATTTCTTGGAAACAACCGCACAACTCGCATAAAAACGAGGGTTTTTCTATGTGCAGAGTTTTTCGCGGTTGTCGCATACTAATCGGCGATATTATTCGAAGCCTTCCGCAGTCACCTTCAAATGTAGACGGAGTGTTATACTCCTTATTTTTAGAACCAGTGCGTGTTGTTGTAAATTCGTAGCGGACCTTTAACGAAGTTACACGAGCAGGTCGGGAAACAATAAAATGTGTATTTAGGTAAATTCCAATTGACGCATCAAATAATAAGAGCCAAAAAATTATAGATTTTACGTTGTAAATACTTTTTTTTCTTTTTTTTTAGATATTCTGAAGCGAAGGCTTCGAAGAGTTGAAGTCGATCTTATACTACAAGCTACGCAAGAAAATTATAAACGTGTGGGACCTTTTTTTTTGGTATATCAACACTGTGCACCTTTTCTAAGAGGAACAACGGTATAACGTAGTTAATGTGGGAAAAAATAGAGAAATACCAAAGTAGTTTTGCTCAGAATAGCCTAAGCAGAAGCAAGTAAGAAGTTTGGTTAAATTTACGGATTTGTGACCGCTGTCATGGAAGTAAACACTAAATAAGAGACGAAACCGCACTCAGAAAACGGTTACGCTGCGCTGGCTCGTCCCAATATTATTGCTATGTCTTAAGGTCTAATGGATTTATCAATCCTTGTCGAAATCTTGAAAATAATGAATGACCATTAATATCACAGGGAATTGAAATTTGTAAATATACCTTCATTGGATTAACAACTACTTTACAAGTTACCGAACGGTGTACTAAAACGTTTGCAATTATTGTTAGTTCAGCAGGCTCTAACCTGGGGGTACGTATTGTGATAAAAAGGAATACGCATTGCCCTCGATATTGAGAAGCAGGAGTACACATAAGATGCTTCCACTTAGGACCGACAAGTGTTGCACTTTAATTTTACTTGTTTTTTTTTCAGATTTAAACATTGTTCTCTTACATTTTGAAGCTCCCCATGGTGGCGTCCATTGACATTGCAAGCCATACCTCATATATGGCCTTGGACGTATCGACTTAACAGTGTCGATGTCCTGCTAAAGCTTTGTGTCGAGTAAAATAACCTTGAGACATCTATCTACATGCGTACCCTGGGAAACTAATGATCGATCGTAGTTATTATACTAAGTTGTCGTTAGCTTACTGCGGGCGTTTGTTTGAGCACAAAGCCTCTACCCACTGTCTAGCCCTCTTTGTCCACATGGATCTTAAATAATTTTTTATTTACTTATGGCTAGAGTTTTTTCTTGATTCACATATGATTAAAGTTCCAATAGGGGAGTTTAAGACATTAGTTCAGGGACACCAAGGCATCTTTAAGCCCGGGCAACTATTCAACTTCTCGAATTTATCGACACGTCAAATCTAAACCATCTAAATAACTACAATAATATGGCAGTGCGATGCCACTAAGTATCCGGTAAAGTGGCGAACGAGGCACAGCATGAAAGATGATTAGAAAGAAAGTCGATTTCTACAAAGATTTTGTTTGTTTCTGTTTATCAATACATATACAATGCACGAAGGCTTCTGTTTAGATGATAGATAGATTTTTCCTTTGGAGGGTGAAAGGTGGCAGTATGGCGGCGGGTGAATGTCAATAAATCTGTTATTATTTGATCGATAGCAATAAATGGCCATCTTAGCGGTGACGCATCTCTTCATTGTGCGCGTGCACCATAGATCCGTATATATGATAAATAATTGTCGTCGTCCAAGGAGCTGTGCTATTCGTTGACGATCATTGGCCACCATGAACGCTGTGGATAGGACAAAGTTATGGTCATCATTTGTTTGAACGTTTCGGGTACGCTATACTGCACGGCACATCTCGTTCCAACGTCTCAAAACCTTGACTAATCCGGTTAGTTAAATCTATGGTGTAACATTAAGAGTATGCGTAAGGAATAGTCTGTTCGCTAGTCACAACATAAAAAAGGCAGTATGGTTAACCAACACCGTACGCGGAATTAAGAAAACCGTGAGCCGATACGCACCTGTAGAAAATTCGAGCAATTAGCTAGTCTTGACTGCTGAATAGGCAGGTAATTAATGGGAGAATCGTGGGCAGCGTGAAGATCATTGCTACTACGATAAACTCCATACTTGATTTCGCCATCCTCCGTTTCGGATTCGATTTCTTTTGCAAATGACGATTTTTTACGAAGGTGTTCGTTGTCGCCGCCGTCGCTAGCGATGGCCTGATCTGGCCCAGCATCACTGCGGCCGTCCAGTAAGCCTTCGCCGTCTCGACTTTCGCCGTGTTCAAATAACGCTTGGCCGTCAAGCGGTCTTGTCGCACTTCCACGAGCATCCCCTCCGTAGTTATCGGCCGAGACGACTGTTCGGTACGGATATCGCTGCGGTTCAAGTTGTACAGTGTCCATCGCCTGAGGACTGTGAACAGCAGAGCTATGGACACCGTTTCTGGGAGAAGCGCCACCTTCTGTATGATACGACGACACAAAATATGGAGGGACGTTGCGGTTGACGTCTGCGGTCAAGGCTTGTTGATGCTGTTGAGGGGGGCTTGCATGAACTTGCTTTGGGTGGATTTTGACGGCGATAGTTGACGACGACGTCACCTCAGCAGCAACAGCGGCTGAACCCCCCGGAGGGAGACCTCGCGACAGCCACACCAGCCAGCATAGCACTGTAAAGAGGATCCAGGCAAAACAAAACGAGAAAGATATAATTGCCATTTCACTGGTATTATAGGTATGAATTGGAGCTGCATCATATTCGTGAAATTGAAATCTGTCGGTTCGTATCCGGTTCTTGAGAGAAGCATAATATAACCAGTTGTACGACTTGATTGAAACAAGTATTTTTTTCTAATTATCTAAATGATAATGACTAATTACAAAACTAAGCGAAATATTTATTGCTATAATATCGCAATTAATGTAAATAATTAGAAAATATAACGAAATTTTAATTATGATTTTTATTCGAAGACCTTACTAAAACCCATCTATGCGATGTATAATTGTTTTCGTTTGAAAATAAATTGATCTGTCTATCTTCTTTAGATACAATAAATACTAAAAGGCTGTCGTGCTTTAAAAAGCCTACGTCTATTGTCAGTCCAGCTTGAACCATATTGACGTAAAATAATTTTTACTACTTTTCCTGTTTTCCGCTGCAACATCCAAATCTGAACCGTCAACTCTAACACGGTGCTACATTTCTTCTTGCTATTGTCACCATATGATCATTACTATGATTTAATGTATACCAATATGAGTGGCCAACGGTGCGCTAACGTGTATCTTCTATAGAATTAAGGTAATTGTACCCGATCAGGCTACATAGAAAGCGCGTCAGCAAATATCACCTTTGGGCAGAACTGAAGTCGGAGGCTGAACCATGAAAAATTACATGTTTTTCTTGACTGCTGATTAAATCATGTAATGATCGTATATTTCTATCATGCTGTCGCATTGAAGACTCCGCTACAGATACATCGATCCCTTCAACGAAAGTCTTTCGGAATTCATTCATTTTATCGTATTAGCATGAATTACCCGTTGTCAAACGCTGGGACACAAGCCAACACTGGATGTAAACAAGTCACTCTTGAGTGACCAATTACCTGATGACGGTCCAGGAAGCACCGCAGCTCATCTCGATTTTATCCAACCCTTGTCAAGATTAAACCACCGACACCATTCCCTCGAGATTGCTTTAGTTAGTTTTCTATGGGGGCTATCAAGGTAACGACTCAGCCAGCAAATATCGCTAAAATAGAATACTACGGTTCATTCGGACCTTAGGATACCGCACTGAATTTGGTATATTCTTCAGTGCCACTAGTGTGTGTAGGGGAAAACTAAAAGATCAATTCCCTTTGTTTTGGCACTTCATCTTGATTAATATAATGAACTGTGGCAATAATATAACGACAATGATCGGTGTAGTGATACGGTCAATGGGTAACCCGCGGAGTGCTACTAAGTCCCAGTGTATCTAGCCCTTACATAATATTGAGAACTTACGCTGTATATCGTGCAGCGGACATAAGATATTTTTGGTCTATACTTATCGGGTAGTATTTCTTTGAAAAAGAAATTTGTGCGTGAAATAAGTTATTCGACAATTGTCCGCCTAGCATAGTTAATTTGAAGGCCATGGTCAATTAGCAGCTAGAACACCGATGAAGTTAGTTGATTAACCTAACTTAAGTGATTGTTCATTAGGGTGCATTTCTGCCAAGTAGTTTTTCTTAGTAAACTAACCGTAGGAGTCATACTATAAATAAAACTTCAACTTTGAAAAATCGCTATTTTTATTTCATAAGTTACGTTGTTCTCCAATCTGACCTTATTTATTGCAGGACGCACAGCTTCGCTCATTACAGCTCTGAGTTTTAAGCAACGCAGTCGAACATTTTAGCTTGGAAAATGTACAAAGGCTTTTTTACAAAACGTGCGTAATAGGTTTATGGTCAGATTTCTTCAATTATTAGCTGACTCTTCACACTCGCGCTTATATAAGTTGCCACCTGTGTCTTTCGTATATGCCGCTACCGCTCACAGCAGTGGCAGGCTAAACCGTCGTCGTTCTCGCTGCCGAATGTAAGGCTGACGTCGATACTTAGAGGGGAATGGATGAGAAGGGACGGCAATTGTGTCGGTGCTCAGCTTTGGCGAGCTCGAACCAAGCTGACGCCGCTACAGCCTTAAACCAACTAGGGAATATGCAGGCCCGATAGGCGCCAATGCGGCACATTGACATTGGACTTGGGTTTGAGCCAGTGTTTGTTCAAAGTCGGCCGCGGAAAATTTGTGTGGGTCTTTATACAGACACTGTGAGCGAACAGTTAGAAATGTTTGTAACTGATGTTGTTTAACCGTTCATTTTTTGTTTTATACCCATCCATGAAAAACTATGGATGAGCATGGTCCGCAAATTCAGCACAGTAAAATGTAAAAAAATAGCTTAAGCTTAAGGCTTACTGAACACAGAACGCCAAAGGTGTCCAATACAAGGTGGACGACGATGCAAAACGACAAAAATTTATTTTTGTTTGTTACTTACTAACTAAATTAGACCTAAGCTGAAGCGGGTTTTCTTTGGCCTGTTGTGTATTACTTTGTTGAAATAGTTTGTAAAACTGAGTTGCTGTATGAGAAGTTTTCGACAATATCCTACCTTCCCTTTATTTCTATTCTGGTTATGAGTAAAAGGAGTCTAGACGCCAGCGGTCAGAACGAAAATTGGAAAGTGCTCAACGTTGTTCGGTTATCAGATTTTGCGGATTGGTATCCCACGTTCGTATAGGGTTCGCTCATAGCCTCATCTTGTCGTGAATATAATAAATGTCTGATTTATTTCCTAACAAGATATATTTAACGCCTGTATTGCGAAGAATCTCGTGTTTTATCTCTAGTAAAATACGCCAGGTTATACTTTTATAGAGCGCATAAAAGTTAGCGTGGCCTCTGGAGGGCATCGTTTATTTAGTACTTAGTGTTTCGGCGTCGTTGTCGTGCTACCAAAAAGTGTTATAATGTTACGAGCAGTTCTTCATGACACAGCCAAGGCACGCATTTGAATCAAATGTCATCAGTAATGAACACGACTCGGGGCTGTTCGACCCGAACTACGCATCAATTCACGACTAACATTGGGCTTCAGCCACATAACCTATTCCCTCCCAGGGCCGGGCAGGAAATGTCCTGTTACTCGTGGGTGATGTGTATCACGTTATCACGATGTGACATGAAACGTTTCATTCTCTGACCATTCACCCGTCTACCATCGCACTGCAGCGTTTTCTACGTAAACTAACAATATAGATCAGTTACTAGTAAACGCATCCGCCCTTCTGGAGGACCAAGTGGTTACAAGGAGGTACTGCAGCCTGTAAGAAGGTTCATCAACAAGCCATACATTTTGCCCCAAGAAAGATCGGACAGCCGTGATATTTTGCATAATAATTAATTATAATCATTCCAGTTTTTTGCGGACTGTAGTGACCGCTGTACATGTAGAAGCAATAACAATAGTTATTACAATGTGACCGTGTCAAGAGCTAGCGAATTGTGCACAATCAGTTGAGACCAAACTCATAGACGGATCTGATGCTTGATCCATTTTGTCATACCGCTCTTTTATACTCAACAGACGCATGCAGATATGTAAAGCTTAGTTTGATTTCTAGGAAACATGTAAGTGTACCTCTGTCGAAATTCGTGAGTTTCACTAAGGATAGCAACGGAATAAGGGTTCGTTGGCAGTGATTCATTCGTCCGTGGAGGTATCACCATCCACAGAATTGAATAGACAAATTGTTTCAACAATTTCTACTACAACACATTCCTTCTACAATAGTATTATGTTAATAGGTATATGCTTTGTTTTTTTTTTTACAAATGTCAAAAAAGACTTCTTTTCTGTGGTTAACACGGTGTTTCTTTGATTTCATTACTATGCCTCTCGTACCATCTAACATTGTCGTATGTCATCGTATGGTCAATTGTTCATCGATCGCTCTGATGTCCTGGCCTAAGTTTCATACCCCCTCTTTCTTTTGCATTCTGCTTAGTCGCCAAATAGTCCTCGCCAGAGTTTCGTTTTTCCACCTAATGGTTTGTGTACTAAGGGGATGCCACCTCAGACGAATGCACAAAATAAGAGTTCCGTCAATGACTTGGTAGACCACGTGATCTAATTGTCCTGTATTGGGCGATAAAAGTAACTGTATTAAACCCACCGTATGAATGTAGTTTTTACATAGAACCTAGAGACACACTTATGTTAATATTAGTAAGTGATTACTATATATTTATGCTTTAGCTTTGACCTTTGACTTTAAAGGGTACACTCATTTATCTGGGGTATGTTTATTTTTTAGTGTAGTCCATTAAGGCTCTGGAAACGGTAAAACCCCAAGACATACCGTAGATCTTTTGATTTTTCGTTCACGACAGATTCAAACTAAGGATCTATTATTACCTTCGGCATCCAAGTACAGTCGGAACCACTTACGCTGACTGAAATATAATCGCGAAAATTTTTTTTTTGTATAAGCAAGTTTTTGGGTCGCAGGCCCTATTTAATTAGCGCATTATGATATACGCCGCGAGTTTTTAGGACCGAACGAAAAACTAAAAAGCTTTCGTTGTAATTACTTACCAATCAGTTCCTCGTGCTGGGGACTGCTCAATCAGCTAAAATTGATGCCATTACATCTATGTCATATGTTCAGTCCTGTCTTTTAGGGTTCCAGTGTCCAACCTTAGCATTTCTCAAAGTATCAGATATTACGAAAGAAACACCAGGCTCTTAGTACGTCTTTTTTTGTTGGTAAGGGCTCAGTCAACTAGACCTATGCACTAGGCCTGACTTTATGGCCTATGCGCTTATCCTACGCCTCATCGACGTCATAAAGAAATCCTTTACAGAGAAAGAAAGATTTAGTTCAATTTCAAAAACGTCTTAATTGTTAGTACATTTGTTAAGTTGCTGATCAAGTTCAGTGTTAATAACACTGTAGTAAGAACAGCCAAGGTGGTACACTGGTTTGTAGAACAGAAAGCGATCGTCTCGGTGTACGTAGAGATAATTTGATTTGTGTTATTTCTTGGCAGTTAGTTTTCAAATGCAAAATTAACTCATGAAATTAGCTGAAATTAACTGAGCTTAAAC